CCATACCTGCTGAGTGGGGGGGGGGGCCTAGGAATCTGGATGTTCAGTAAGCACTCTAGGGATTCACTTCATACCCAGTTTTGGGAACTGTGTGCTAGAGTAAGAATCTAAGAAAGAGTTATAGTGTCTCCTGTATCTAATGCACTTACGGAACATTTGCTGTATCTCTGGTCTCTCTGTCCACCTCTCCTCCATTAGCTGCATGGGCGCCCCCTCTCTTCCCCAAGTCATGAGCACGGTGCCCAGTGTTCATTCTCAGCCTCTGCCCCCCTTCTGCATCATCCCTGGCTCAGCAGGCACTCCTCAAAGGGTTCGGTGGACACTCCCTGAACACCTCCCCAGGCCAGGCTCTGGGCTCAGGCTGAGAATGGAAACAGCCCACCCCAGCCCCTGACCCAAACTGGAGACAGGGTGTGAATGGAGGTGAGTCCAGGCATGGATGAGGAAACACCTGCCCCAAGACTTGTAGGATGAGTAAGTTATTGAGGTTGGAGGCATTTCTGTGCAGAGACGCAGGCTGAGTAAAGTGCAAAGGTGGGGAGCAGCATAAGTGTGGGCTCACCACTGGGGAATGCTGGAGTCGCCAGCCGGAGGCGGGAGCATCAGAGTGACATCCGGGAGGGACGCCAGCCTGAGGCTCCCAGCCTCTCACACTTCACCTCCCTCCTCATGCATCTAGAATTCCTCTCTCTGCTCTTTGCCTGGCCTGCCCGTCCTTCCCTTCCCTCTTGGCTCCCCTGTTGAGAACCTACCTGTCCTGTGAAGCCCAGATCAGGATCCGCCTTCACTGTGAAACCAGGCCCAGCTGCTCTCATCAGTACGGGCCCTCCCTCCCCCGAAGCTCACCCCACATTCTCTGCAGATTCCTTTTTCTATGGGCTGCTAGCCTACTCTGCTTGGCCCTATAATATCGGGGTTTGTCCCTTGTCCTCTTCCTCCCCCTAAATCCTACTCATCTGGTTCTATTCTAAAGTAACTGTTTAAAAAGAAATTTACATAGAATGAAAAGTGGGCTTTTCAATTTACCAAAATATATCAGAGACTTTAAAATCCTTTGTGTCCTTTGTTTGATAAATTCCCCTTCTAGGAATCTCGCTAAGGAAATAATTAGAAATTGGGACAAAAGTTTATGCAGAAAGATGTTTATCAACAGCAGTTTTTTATAATGGCAGAAAATAAAAGCAACCTCAATGTTTAAACATAAAGGACTGGGTAAATTACACTGTATACATAGGATGAAAAATCTACATAAAAGGCTTTGTTTTGCTGATATGGAGAAACACTTGTGAAGTAAGTGGGAAGAAAACGGTGCATATATCTAATCCATATATGTAATCATATATATGGATTACCATATATATAATCTCGAGTGTATGAATATATACGAGTGTCTGAGTGTATCATACAAGAGTTTGAGTGTGTGAGTGTATATAATCTATATTTGGAGCACCGTATACGTAATCTTGAGTGCGTGAAGAATACAAATATACTTTCACATCTATTTGCATGTCTAAATCGATAGAAAAAGACTAAAGAGATACACCAAAATGTTGATGGTTTTTGTACAAAGCAGAATTATATTAATTATATTATTATTTTCTACTTTAAATACTTACATATTTTCCATACACTCCACAATGAACACATACTTCATGTTTGTAATCAGAAAAAAAAAGAAATGAAGACCAGAGCGATAGAGAGAAAGACGGAGGACTTTTCTCAGCCTAAGTCTGGCTTTTGACGAGATAGGACTTCATGTTTGTAATCAGAAAAAAAAAGAAATGAAGACTAGAGCGATAGAGAGAAAGACGGAGGACTTTTCTCAGCCTAAGTCTGGCTTTTGACGAGATAGCGTGTATGTTACTAATGACATTTCTGAAGTACTGTTTCATTTGCTGTGTGTTTTATTGTGTGTTGTTGTACTCTGGGGTTGCAAATTACATGCTGAGCTCAGCATTTTCTGGCTGCCAGAGCCCTGCTTCGCCCATCACTTCTGTGATTTGTAGTCCTCCTCGGACTCACACGGAGTCATATGGATTGCTGCATTCTGGCTGCCTGGATATGACACTCTGGGATGGATGATGCCCCCAGCCCTTCAGCAGCCTGACGGTCTGTCTTTTATAAAGGTGGTCACCGCCTTTGGCTAATCAGAGGATTCCCTTCCCATTCAGACAGAGCAGCCACTCTTATCTGTTTGCACTTTACATTTTATGCTTAATATTCCAAGGTGGCCTTGTGTGGTTAACTTGGGTGCTGCCCATCAGATGCCCACACCTGGCTTCATCTCTGGTGTCCTCCTGTTTAGACCCAGCAGTCCCATACTTCTGAGTGTGTCTGTGGGGTGCCATGGCAGACATCACTGTTAATGGCTGTGTTCATACACTATGCCGGCAGGAAAATGTACATTGCATTCTCTCCATCACTTGATTTTCATAACATCCAAAGTAGATCATATTATGCCCATTATACAGCCAAAGAAACAGGCTAAGTAACTTTCCCAGCATCCCAGCAGATCTAAAATTTGAACCCACGGCTGACTGACCTCAGGACTGGTGTCCTTTGATGTCACTGACTTAGGGCAGCCAGGCATTCAAAGTTAAAGCTCCTGGTGGTACTTTCCTCACAGTCCATGTAAATTTTGGCTTCATCTTCACCTGTGGCTACTCAAAGACAAAGCACACTGCCCCCAAAATGCCTACAGACATCCCATTAACATAGTATCACTGTTAAGACAAATCACATTGGCAGACTTTATGCTACACCTTGGAATTATGTACTTTGGACTTGAACAGTCACTCGGTCTGAAAATTTTGTAGCAGTGTTGTTGAATGGGTTTGAAAGGGATATGTGAATGCCTTTGTGAGGCCTGAAGACAGGACTGAGGCTCACGTTGCCATGATAAGTGATCCGTCGCATGGTATTGTCGTCATGGAATGAAAGGCACCACCAGCCTCAGAGACTTTGATTTGTGAGGCGGCGGAGTTGTGGGCTCTCATCCCCACTAGGCAAGGCTGAGTGAATAGTACTCCCTACTGTCACTGTTAATGAATCAAACAGTACCTAAGATTGAAGCAGATATGTGGAAATTGTCCCCACAAAAATCCACTGGGAGAAGGAGGTGTCTTCTCTGTTCTCTGACCTGTGGGAACAGAGAGGATGTGCCCTAGACCCCAGGAGACCCTGAAATTAAATGTGCATCATTTAACCTCCCCCACAGGAAGACAACATACAAACCACTCAGTTGTTTGAAAGGCCAAACACAGGTCTCTTGCTATACTACAGAGGTTAGATAAATAAGAAATTAGAGTAAAAACTCACAGATGCAGAACAGTTCAAATCTACATATATGTTGTGAGCGATGGTACCAGCCCAAATTAGTGAAAAGTATGAGCTACTGAATAATTTTTAATGCAGTTTTATTGCTTTAAAAAGGCCACTTAGGAGATAATTCATAAATGTTGAATGGATGTTTTGATGACTAGATCGTTAGATAAGTGGTAAGTGAATAAGTGAATGAATGAAAGAACAGTAATTAACACATACCACTCTTACTCTGAACCAAGCACTGTTCTAAGTATTCCATTCTAAAATCACCCTAAAGATAAGTACTATTACTACCCTCATTTTAAAATTGAGATCACACAAGCTATTGAATGGCAGAACCAGAATTTGAATATAAGATGTCTGGCTCTAGAGTCCTGTAACCAATAAAAATTCATAGATACATGAATGAAGGAGTGTTTGAACACCATTTACTATACCAATATTATGCTGCTACAGTGTTTGAAAAGTGTGTTTCTGTAATTACATCGTTGCTTTAAACAAGTCTGGTGGCCATTGTCTCATGGATGGGGAAACTGAGGGCCAGAGAAGGAAAGGTCTTTGCTGCAGCCCTAAAGCAGCATGTGCCCACCTGAGGCCAGAACTCAGACCCCTGACACCTACCATCTCTGACTTTCCATTCCACAGCCAGTCCAGTGCTCCTTTGTAAACCCACCTCTGGTAGGCATCTAGATTCCTTTGAAGGTTCCACAATAGAGGAGCCTAAACCGACCATTTACACCAAGTGTCTCCCAGAGTGTGATAGCCCTGAAGCCCCTCCTAATAGAGGCTTTGTGGTGACTGAGAGACACCAGCACTCTCGGAACCCAGCCTTTGTAGTCCCCTGAAGCTGGGATCAGCTTTCAGAAGGACCAGAGATCCTGCATCTTGCTTCTAGCATGGACTTGGTTGTTCCTTTTCAGGTTAGCCTATGCAAGAGGAATATGAACAGTGCCAGGAAAATCAGTCTGGTCCCTAGAGCTTCTCGGGTATGATGCCTGTACCAATTCCCACCAGCAGCTGGTGGCAGAACCCAGCAGTTACAAATGCCCCACCTGGAGGCTGGCTGCCTAGGTTTGAATCCCCTCTTCTCTGCCTCTCTGTGCCTCAGTTTTTCCCTCCACAAAATGAGCATAACAATACCTACCTAAAGCTGTTCTGAGAATGAAATGGTATTATACACATAAAGCACTTAGGGCCCATAGTAACACCCAATAAATGTAGGGTATTATTTTATTATCACAATCAGCATAACAATACCTACCTAAAGCTGTTCTGAGAATGAAATGGTATTATACACATAAAACACTTAGGGCCCATAGTAACACCCAATAAATGTAGGGTATTATTTTATTATCACAATCAGCATTCCATTAGAACAAACTCCAAGGGATTATCCACATTCATCAGTTGTTCCAGAGCTTTCTTTTATTGGAAACTGAAATGAAAAGGCCACCCGCTGGGGTCTAGGATTCCTTTTGGTTATCCAAAGAGCCTTTATAATTAATCTTTACAATGAGATTTTATATGAAAATATTTATAATTAATAAGAGCCTTTATAATTAATCTTTACAATGAGATTTTATATGAAAATACCAGTTACTAGTACCTAGTAACACTAGGGCTAAAATGGATTTCAAATAGGGCAGTGACTTGTCCAAGGCCCACAGCTTGTTTGTCTTAAGACTTTAAGAACCTTACCTTCTATCAGAAGATGCGGTTCTGGGTACAGCACAACTACCTTTGGAGACTTTGCGGTGGCCAAAAGCAACCACAGACAGATTTCTGTTATAACACTGAAAAAAATCCTTTTTGTATTACTTGGCACTTTGCCAATATTAAACAAGCTGTATCAATTAAATCATTACTTATAACTGTATATTCTGAAACAGCTTCAGATTTCTTCACATGCTTTCTCTTTTTAAGTCATGAACATGGAGACATCGAGTTCTTGATACATTCCAAGAGAAGCATTTGGTGAAGTTTTCCAACGGAATATGATGTTATCTTTCCTGTTAGTGACCCTTCTGTAACTTTGCTGGGATCCACCCTTGTTTTTGCAGCTGTGCCTGAGCTGAAGCTTCTCTGCGGGGCAGATGTCTTGAAGACCTTCCAGACCCCCAACCTCTGGGAAGACGCACACATCCAGGAAATAGTGGAGAAGTTTGGCCTGGTGTGCGTGGGCCGGGCGGGTCACGACCTGAAGGGGTACATCTCAGAATCGCCCATCTTACGCAGGTACCAGCACAAGATTCACCTGGCCAGGGAGCCTGTGCTGAACGAGATCAGCGCCACGTCCATCAGGCGAGCCTTGGGCCAAGGGCAGAGTGTGAAGTACCTGCTCCCTGACACCGTCATCGCCTACATCAAGGACCACAACCTCTACACCACGGACGGTTCCTGGAAAGGCACAGGCACCCTAAGCAAAGAAGGAAAGAGCAGCTAGAAGGGACTCACCAGCCAGCCACTCCTCCACTGAGCTCCTCCTGAGAGAGGGCTGTTAGGGTTTTTATTTTGCTTTGGTTTTTGCTTTTCCATTTTTCATTCGTTTTATTTCTACAATTATTTTCCCTTCTGAGAAGTCTCCTGTCCCAGGAAGCGATGCCTTCTTTGGGGGGGAGGAAATATCTGCATCCCAAGGATAGATATGTATCAGAGAAGTTAAAGTGGCATGGCAGCTCATTATGGCTGGACAAAGTGTCAGAGCCGCTGGGCAAGGAGGCCTCCCTGTTTGGTGTAAGTGACATGTAAGGTGTACACACTGACCGCGCTAGGCAGGGCCCCAAGATGGCATCAAAATTGCTCATGACGCGTTTTTATCTAGGACCAGATGCAGCATGCTGGTCTTGACGGAGGGATTTGACAGGCTGCTAACCACTGACCATGTGGGCTTTGCCAGCGCCCTTGTTTCAAATAGAATAACACTAACAGAGGAGTCGAAATTTGGAAACAGCACTTTGCTGATTTACATTAAATCTTTCCTTACGGACTATGGCCTGCCTGCCTACTGGCCTTTCATAAAATTTAAACTAAACTCTTGCTAAGCAGTGATCCTCAAGCAATATTTTTGATAGAGCAAGTATTTTTAACACTGCTATACTGTAAATTCCAGGGCTCCTGATTTCCAGGTTTCTAAAAGGAACTGAGTTAAAACAGATGCCTGACTGTTTTTTGAATGTTTTATGACTGCCTGCCTGTTTGAATATTGGCAAAGGGATAAATAATAAATTGACATCAAAAAGTACTAATGAAAAGTTTCTCCTTTTTCTTCTTTTGTTATATTATTAATGCCTGATGTACCAGGCGTTGCTCTTCTCTTAAGCTACTCCGTGGAGTTTGCTACTGTTCCAGTCGAACTGGCATGAGTTTAAAAGTTTGTGTTCCTGGGTACTGGGAGTAGGAAATGCAATTGCTCTTCAGTAACATGCAAATAGTTCAAAGCACTGGGTCGACAGCTCTGCTCAGGTAGGCCCAGAAAGAGAACAGGAGCCTCCTGTGTGTTCAAGATTCGTTATTCCACTCCCAGATTAGGAAAGGGTTTGGACTGGCCTAATTCTGATTGAGTTTAGTTTTACACTTGCTGGCCAAATGTCTGAATGTATTCAGGATTTACTTCTACATAGTTTTACTCTGGTTCATGCTTGCTACAGATTTAGTCAGGCAGGAAGATAAAGAGGTAGTCGGGAAGAATCTAATATTCCTCCCCAAATATCCTAGTATTCATATATGTGTCACAAAATGGATGAGTGAAGTAGGAAATCAGGGTTTCCTGGATCCAGAGTGGTGGGACCCTCCTGTGGGGGTTCCCCAGACTTCTGTCCCTGCAACCCCTAAAGCTGCTGGCTCTTCATCACCGTGATTGATCTCTGCCCTCCAAGAAGTCCCTGAGGCCCCTGATAATTCAGGGAGATAGGAATCACACAGCTTTGTCCAAAAGCTGCTGCAGCAAGCTGTGTGCCTCAGTTTCCCTGCCTCTTTCATTGGGGGGGGGGTTGATTAGACATCTAAATACCCTTCCACCTCTGGTTTTCTAAGACCCTGAGTGCCTCTGACTTCAGCCTGTCCAGCCTTCTTTGGGTCCAGTATACTTCTAGGCAGACCAGAAGCTCCCCAGGGCAAGGATCTTTGCTTTGTTTCCTGATGTATCCCAGGTACCTAGAAATTTGCTGCTTAAGGTGCAGTCCCAGGCCAGCAAAGTTTGTGTCCCCTGAGAGGTGGTTAGAAACAGACTCACAGGCCCTGCCGCAGACCTGCTGACTGAGAGTGGGCATTCTAATGAGATTCACTGGCCTGGAACAGTGCCTGTTACAATAAATACTAGTTTTATTTTAAATACACTGAATGTAGTATTAAAATTATGCAACATTTACTCTGGTGAATATCTTCCTGCTTATCCTCTGAGCAATACTGCTGGTCCCACTGTTCTGTGTGTAGTATAGAGGGCAGAGGAGGAAAAAAACACCTGCAAATGGTTGTAGTGTCCAGAAAAAGTGGCAGGTAGGGAGCCTGTGGGTTTAAGGCAGGGTTCTCAGCCTTGGCAATACTGACGTCTGCTGTGTAATTCTTTGTTGTGGAACTGTCCTGTGCGTTGTAAGATACTTAGCAGCATCCCTGGCCTCTGCTCACTAGATGCCAGGAGTACCCCCTAGTTGTGACAACAAAAATACCCCCCAGACATTGCCAAATGTCACCTGGGGCACCAAATAATCACCCTCCCTGCTTGAGACTCTTGGTTTAAGGATATGACCATGAGGAGTATGTGCATGAGGAGGGGTCTCTTTTTCCCAGTAGGGAAAACAGGAAGCAGCGGCTTTAGAATAGTCTCCTTTTATGAAGGACTAGTAGGGGGGGTGGGGAGGACACAGTGCTATTGACAGTAGGAATTAGAAGCCACATCCATGATTCACAGCACCCCCCAGCTTTCGTCTCCCTTTATTTCCAAGCATGCATAGTGGCTTTCTCTCCCATGTTTTCACAAGCTGGGGATTCCAACACACCCTGAATCCTCAGTACTGACACCCAGGACCTGGCAAGGAGACTCTCAGTGAGTGGGAGCCAGTAGATTTATTATTATTATTATTCAAAATTCAGGATTCATCTATTTAAATCATATTTGTTGAGGATCTCTCTCGTGCCAGGCACTAGACTAAACACTAGGGGTATAGTGATGAGCACAAGGTACAGTCTATACCCTCAGGAAGCTTATGTAATCAGGGAACTAAACATGTGATTGCAAACTGTGTGAGGGCTCTGAAGGGAAATACACCAGTGCTCTGACAGCCAGAGGCAGCAGCTTCTCCATGAAGCTGATGAAGCTTAAGCTTCTGTCCCTCACTTGCCCAGCTCTTTCCAATACCCTGGAGGGGCCCTAATGATGTGAGTATCTATTCTTTTTCTGAAAGAGGGTCTTCAAAATTGCACAAGGGTTAGACCCATGAAATGGATTTGCCCTGATGACAGTGTAGACAGCAGGGAAGTGATAATGGATTTGAGTCCTGAAGGATGAGTTCCCAAGACTTAGGGATGGATACGCGGAGGCGGCTGGCTTCCACGAAGAAGGAACAGCATGCGCAAAGGCCCTGAGGCAGAAGGGGACAAAATGAGCAGCATGGTGAGCTAGATTCATCATCACCTTTTTGAAGGGGGTTTGTTATTACCTCGTGCATCTGACAGCAGCTGTCCTTGCATGTCACCATCTCCCTGTCCAGGCTTTCCATAGCTTGGGGCACCAGGCCTAACCAGACTTGGAGGAGATGCCTTTGTCTCTTCAGTCCTTGTCTGTATCACGCGGCTCCCACCAGGAAAAACATCCGTTCCTGAGCCTTTACATTGTCTCTTTCTAAAACAAAACAACACAATAAAACCTATTTTGCTAAAATATATATATAAATATGTATAAATAAAATATCATGTTTTAATTTCTGTTTTGTCTCATGATTTGTACAGCCTCTCTTATTTATTATCAGAAGAGAAAATCCATATCACTGCTCCAGCTTTATCGTGTTGGCGCTGACCTGCATACCTGATTTCACATTCCCTTCCATCCCCTCAGGTCTTCTTGCATCTAGTTTGCCAAGGCGTTTTGTTTATTTTGCAAGAACAGAAAAACAGTGGTTTGGACTCCTGGGTAAATAGAATTTCCAGCCTTAAATAAAGGTTCTCCTGTGATAACATATGCTGCCCAAATGAGAGGAGCTCTGTATCCTAGCCTGGGGAAAGGATTTCTCATTTATAATGCTGTCTTTGTCACTTGGGACGGAATGATGTGAAATCCCATTTTAAACCGGTAGCGCTCTGGATTTGCAAGGTACGTTTGGTAATTGGGTTAATACATGAATATGAATTCCTTTATTTCCGTCCTCACACTACCTAGGTTACCGGTGTTTCTGCCCTCCTTTTTTGCAAGGGTCTCAATGCATAGATTGTGTTCAGTTTCAGTAATGAAGTTATTTTCTTGGACCAAAACTCAGCATTATAGATACACATGTGTGTGACTAATAAACAATCTATAATAATACACCTAGGCACACACCTCAGAATCTTTTAGTACTGTTTAAATAACCTCAGAAGGGATTGGATTGTTCATGGCATCGGGAGAACTAGAAGAGACTAAAGTTCATCTGGCCCCACATTTTCAAATTATCAAACACTTAAATCCCACAAAGGAATGGGAGTTTCACTATTAAAAACAATAATGATAATGTGTTCCGTGGACACATTTGGGGAGCCCTACCTTTCTTTCCCCTGCTGGAAATCCAGAATGTGTGTTTTGCATGCCCTGCCAGCCTTACCTTCCCTGCATCCCTCACATGCAGCCGCTTTTCTCAATCCCTCCCATCACCTCCCAGTCCAAATCCATCATCTCTTACCTTGACCACTGCAACAGCCTCCTAACAGGATTCTTCAGTCCACTCCTGGCCCCTGCAGTCCATTCTCCACATAGAAGCCAGAGCAGTTTTGTGTGTGTGTGCAAATCTGGTCACATGACTTCCCTGCCCAAACTCATGCTGAGAGACACCATTAAGAAAATGAAAAGACAAGCTACAGACCAGGAGAAAACATTTGCAAAATGTTTACCTAATCAATGACTTGCATCCAGAATATGTAAAGAACTCTAACAACAAAAGTCAG